GGTGGTAAAGAAGACAACAATAAGGCCTACTCTTCATCATTGACTTCCTTGCCTGTGTTCTAAAGTCAGTACACTAGTTCACCAAATCCATTAATATGATGGTGAAGATTTGCCCCCTTTTCCATCTTCAAACTGTAGAGGTCAATCTTCATCAACAACCGGTTGGTTAGTGATTTCGATGCACAAGTAATCTATAACTTGTACCATATTCCCTTCATTGTTGTCTCGCTTATGACATAATGCTTAATATTAGGAGCAAGTGAAAGTCGAATATTACTAACCATATGCTTTTGCATTTTTTGTCACTTTTTCTCAGTCACATGTTTGGGTTTTTCTTCCTCAAGATCCAAATCAAGATCATCCCTCACAAATAAATCTTTGATTGTACACTGCCATATATTAATATCTACATTTCCATCGAATATGGGGCATTCAAACTTCATTCCCATCATTTGTTCAACAATTTCTACTAACTCTTAACATCTTAATTTGACCAAAACAACACTAACCAGTTGAATTTGACAAACATATGCCAAAGAGAAAAACTCAGTATGTCAAAATTAAGGGGGAAGGGTAACCTCAAAATTTTGTTGGCGTTATAGTCAACCTAGTGACGTGGTGGTCAAACTGATGATGTGGCAGTCAGTCAGCACATGCACGCCAGTCCAGTTACTAGACGCGTGGCAGTACAATCAGTGCCACATTGCTGTCCAGTTAGTACCCACGTGACACAAACTCTAAACCTGACACCATGTAACCCAATCATGGCTCAACGCGTGGAAATTATGTGGCTCAATCAGGCAACACCACGTGTTAGATTCTCAAGAAACCCTAATTCTGGCAGCACAATCCACAAAACAAACATCCCAGAATGGTCGAACTTTGACTGAAAATATCTCTTTAACCGTCAGTCAGAATCGTCTCAAACTTCAAGGCTGGCATAATTCAAGCGTCTAAATTCTAGGTCTGTGGTCCGATCAGCCTGAATCTACTCTGGTGATAAATAAAAAAATTGGGATTGTGGCTAGAATCTTTCTCCTTACAATATCTACCTCTGAGTTAATCCAATGCTCACAAAACATGGGCTTCTAATGTTTTTAATGCAAGGAATCCAACGATGAATTCTGATCAGTGAGAAAATTGCTTCTTCAAGCTGAACCGAAAAGACATTCCCCATGCTAGCTCAAAAAATAGTCCCAAATTGAATCTTCAGCTCTTTACTTCCCACTCGCACAAGATGTTGGATGATTATACACTATTCCAATGCACACAATTGAAATAAATGTGAAAAGCGTTGACATTTATCGCACTTCTGTACAAACTGGTATGCGTCCTTGAAGATTGTTGGCCAGAAATATCCTAACCGCAAGACCTTCTTAGCAAGTGCTCTGGCCCCCATGTGTGCTCCACACAATCCCTCGTGTATTTCTTCGAGCACGTAAGCTGCTTGCTTTGGGCCGATGCATCTTAGCATGGGTAGCAGGTACCCATACTTATATAGGATACCATCTTGCAATGTGTATTTAACCGCCTCAACTGGAGGGCTCTGGCTTCTGCTCTTCCGCTTGGTAATGTACCGTCTGTAAGGTATCGGATGAATGGGGTCATCCAAGTATCTTCGTCCTCGGCGATAGTCATTACAGGGGTTTTCTAGATACTAGGCTCGAGGGGAATCTCGACCCACACTTTGTGACTGAGGTGTGCAAAATTTGAGGAGGCCAACTTACTGAGGGTGTCCGCCCTTTTATTTTTTGACCGGACTATGTGAGATACGGTGCATTCTTCGAACTTGCCCTTGATCTCGAGGACTTTCTCGAGATATCGCTTGAGTTGCTCATCATTTGTTGTATACTCGCCCAATATTTGCTTCACCATTACCTGAGAGTAACTAAAAACTTGAATCATGTGAACCCCGAGCTTTAGTGCCATATTCAGTCCTACTATCAATGCTTCAATTGTCTGCGTTGGAATTCTACTAGGGTGGTATTGTCTCCCAGACTATGTCGTTTGCCGGAATATGCTGTGCTGCTGGTGTCTTCTTCAACCCTAACCATTGTGTTGATTGTTCTTGCAACCCTAGAAGGTTTTCATGATACAAACCCTATTTTTCATGTCCCACTGGGCATGCCACTTGATGAAGCTTGGTTTTATACTGCCGGTCTAACAGTGGAACTCCGGCTAGGGTTTCCTACAAAATAAAGCCTCGGGGGTCTCCCGAGGGTAGACACTCCGATGCTTAAGTCAGTGAAGGGTTTTAAGAACGTCTGAATGCGTAGCATGTTAAGCTAGAGATTGCGTACCCGTATTGTGGTGCGACCAACCCTATTTATAGGCATAAAAGCACCTGGGGGATAACCAAATATTACTAGGTTTTGGTTACCTAAACCATCTTATCAGACTCAGTTGGACCTCTTACGCGGTTAATGGTCCGGTCCAATGGATATGGACTCGTCATCTACTAGGTCGTTCGCAAAACAGGCATATTTGCAGTCCTAATACAGAAGACAGATGGGAAGAAAATCCCAGTTTACTTTTTGAGCAAGGTTTTACAGGGGGCAGAGTCTCGATATACTCCCATGGAAAAACTAATACTGAGCATAGTCTTAGCTGCCCAGCGTTTGCATCCTTAATTCCAAGCTCACCCTATCCAAGTTCTAACCGAGTAACCTATTCAACAAGTCCTTCTCAAACCTGAGGCATCTGGCAGAATGATGAAATGGACAGGCATTTGCAGACTTTCTTGTTAAAATGCCCCGTACTCCAAGTATCATACTCAATTCCCAGCAAAAGAAGCAAGCACAAAAGCACGCCCCAACAGATCCTCGAGCGTGGACTCTTTACATCGACGGCTCGTCTTGTGAGGAAGGGGGAGGGGCTAGTATCATCCTTGCCAAACCAACCGCACCATATAAAATCGAGGAGATGAAGAAATATGATGCGGAATACTCTTACGCCTTGCGGTTTGATTTCCCGGTTACTAACAATATAACCGAGTACGAAGCAATGATCACAGGGTTGAATATGGCTCTAAGGCTTGGGGTTCAAAATCTTGAAGTTTTCAGTGATTCTCAGGTGGTTGTCAAGCAAATCAGTGGCGACTATACTGTTCCCGGGGAGCATCTAAAACCATACCTTGAGAAAGTCCTCAAAATACGGGATAAGTTTGAAAAATGCTCCATATCCCACATCCTCAGAACGAGTAACAAGAGAGCAGACGCCCTAAGCAAGCTAGCTTCATCCAATTTTGCACATCTTAGCCACAAGGTTTGGGTCGAGATACTCCCCTAACCCAGCATCCAGTGTCGAGTATCTCTCACCATTACCGAGGATGGTGATACATGGATGACAGCATTTATCCAGTTTCTCACAGATGGAACTTTGCCGAGTAACAGGTCTGAAGCTCGAGCTTTGAAGTAAAAGCAGTCAAGTACACCTTAAAGGACAGAATCCTTTACAAGCATGGGTGTTTACTACCAATGCTGTGTTGCATCGGCCCGAGACAGGCGGCCTACATCCTCGAGGAAGTTCATGAAGGATCATGCGATGTTCACATGGGAACTCGAGGATTAGCTAAAAAGGTCCTCCGAGCAGGTTACTTTTGGCCTACAGTTTTCAAAGATGCCTATCGATTTGTGCAAAAGTGCGATAGATGTCAACGCTTCTCTCCCATCACTCGACAGCCACAACACGAGATGGTAACTATCTAAAGTTCCTGGCCCTTTTACCAATAGGGCACAGACATCATCAGCTCTTTTCCAAAGGGGGCAGGAGGGCTATGATGGGTTATCGTAGCAGTGGATTATTTTACGAAGTGGGTAGAAGCAAAGTCATTGGCCTTGATATCTGGAAGGAATGTGTAGAATTTTTTCTAGCAAAACCTGGTTTGCCGCTTTGGAGTGCCCAAAGTAATTGTATCAGACAATGGGACTCAGTTCGAGAGCGATGCTTTCAAGTCATGGTGTGCCGAAATGCAAGTCGAGCGTCGATTTTCTGCTGTTGCTCATCCACAAGCTAATGGCCAAGTTGAATCCATCTACAGGACCATCTTACATGGAATCAAGACAAGGTTACAGAATGCAAAGGGGGCATGGGTCGACGAACTCTCACATGTCCTATGGGCCTACCGCACCACAGCTCATTTCTCGACAGATGAAACTCCCTACAGTTTGGTCTACGGAATGGACGCTGTTCTCCCAGATGAGATTGGTCTTGCCAGTCCTCGAACCATCAATTTTGTTAAAGACACCAATAATGAAGACATCCTGACTAACCTTGACATGTTCGAGGAGCAGCGAGATGCTGTAAAAGTCCGGGAAGCTAAGTACAAAGAGATTATCAGGAGACACTACAATAAGCGAGTCAAAAACAATGACTTCACAGTTGGAGATCTGGTACTTAGAAAGAATGAGGCCAATCAAACAGAGACTCCTGGAAAGTTATCAACAAAGTGGGAAGAACCTATCGAGTCATCCAAGCTTCCCCATCTAGCAGTTATCGCTTGCAGACGACGGATGATACTGAAACAATTCTTTCTCGATGGTGGAATATCCAGAACCTTCGCAGGTTCTATGTTTGAATCCTTTACCTACTATTTGCCAGTTTATTTGCCTTATATGATTTGCTGATTTTATTCTCTTATATTTAATGCTAACCCGGGTCCTCGGGTAATTATTCAAAAGTCATTGCATATTTTCTTTCAAATCCTTTACTTATGTCGACACTATTTTACGACTACTCTACGAGATGGACACCCTCTTTAGGGTCATCCTCGATCTGATCCGTGTATTCAACATCCGGACATAAAACTGAGGAATTCTCCTCGTATTCACCGTAGATCGCGGTTTTATAAAGTCGAAGAACCTGTACCCGGTTCTCTCGAAAAGAACCGTGTACTTTACATCCGCCGGAATAAAAAGCGCTATGAATAAAATTACTCAAGTAACATGTGAAGTAATTACCTTCACGCTTAGTGCAAGGCTATGGAAAACACGCTGGTTTTTCTACACTATTACAAGGGCCTCTCTTCCCGGATTATCAAGAGAGGGATGGATGATACCCTTGAACCCATGCTGGCTAAGAAGATTAACGCACTGGTTAAGCTTGTCTTTCAGATCAACGATCTCCTCATCTTGATCAACCATCCTTAAGAGCAACTCTTCTTGAGAGCTCCTGGTCCTCGGGACCACATACTCTTCAAGCTTCTCGAAACTGGGAAAGTCAATCTGATAGTCCGCCAGTTTGTTCTGAAGGACACTGCAATAGCCACTAAGAAGCTCCATGTCACGAGTTTTCTCTTTAAGAATGTCCATGGCTTAAATAAACCGACGAGTCCTCACCGAGATCATGTGTTGCACTCGAGCGATTACGTGATGCTTCTCGAGGAACCACGGAAATACTGTTATCTTTTGCTTGTCTCAATTGAGCGTTTTCCTTCTGTAAAGTGACAAACTCATCATGTATATCGGTCTCAAAGTTCAAGGAGTCGTGGTAGTCCTGAACTTTCTGGTAGTCTCATCGCTACATCTCCTCACGAAGCCCCTTGATTTCTTCAATTAGGTGCTGATTAACCCTCACATTCTGGGCTTGAATGGCATCGAGGATGTCTTCCTCCAGGCCCATCACTGTTTCAATACTGTGAATCTCAGCCCTCCTCCTCATGATGGTGCTAATCATCGAGTATAAAGGATATTCCTTGGATTGTTCCTCTGACAAAATCATAAGGTGGATTCGATGAACAGGCCAACTATCCTTTTCCATGGAAAAGTGTAAAGCCAACATCAGACTATAAGGCAAAATGACGAATCCATTCATAAAGCCAAAAGAGATGGGAATTGCTTACAAAAGACATTGCTTAATTACAAGGCAGAAATTCATACAGCTTCTTGGGAGTGAGGAGTATTTTATGGATGATTCTCAAAAGTTCTATCAACTTGGGGGAACATTCTCTTTGGCTCCACCAGCATTATCTTCAGGTGGGGATCATCTTTCTTAGCTCCCGAGTTGCCGGTCTCGCCTTCTTCTGAGACATCATCATCATCATCCTCGAGCTCAACGCCGATATACTCGTCAAGGACATCCGGAGCTATCAATTTCTCACCAGGCCCTCTCGACAGAATGGTGGCTAAGTCTCCTAGGAATGAGGAAATGTCCTCGGGACCACCCATCTTGGCCAAAGCTCCACATAAGGGCTCCCACAGGGGCAGCTGCTCGACATTTAGCTTGCTGAGGCTTTTCATCAACGCCTCGTGCATGGCCTTCTTCGGGTTTTCCTTCAAGAACTGCTTGAACCACTTGGCCTTGATAGGCCTGTTCTCATTGAGTCTTTTCAGGCTTGCAATAGCAACCCCGTGGCATCCATACTCCACAGCAGCCTTATTGATTTCTTCCACGATGGCAGCCATACCACCTGTGGGCAACATCCTGTCCAAAAGGCCCCACACCATTTGCTGAGGTCTTCTTTCGAGATATGTAGGTTGCTGTACTCTTTAAGTTTTTGCTCCACTTCCTCATATTTGGCCTGGGACAGAGGCCAGCTCCTTGGATTGCAACTGCAGGTTTCTCTCCTCGAGGGCCATCTTCTTGATCAAGACCTGATCTCTCTTGACTCGGGTTTTGTCTAGTTCTTGCCTCAAGTCTCTCGAGCGTTTTGTACAGTTCATCATGGCAGTGTTCATCTGCAAAGGACAAGCAAAGGATATACATATATTCAAACCAAGGTTGTGAATATAAAGGGGCATGGTGTATTACAAGATACTTACCAACTTCAGGCTGTCTGCCTCGGTCAGTGAAGTGGCAAATTCCTCTAGCAGGGGGCACTCGATTGTGGGAGGATCACTAAAGGTATAAACCGCTGCTGAGGGGCCTCCCTTAAACAGCTAGGCAGATAGAATGGTCACATCCCCCTCGAAAGGGCCCTTACCTTTGTCCACTACAGGAGGTTCCATGCTTGTCCCCGATTCATTCACCGTGTGTGTCTCCTCCTTGACGCGGGGTGGCACCTTAGGCTCTTCGATAACAGGGGGAACGGTCTTCTCTATTTGTTTTTCGCTGACTCTGTTTTCTCCTCGGCGGGAGTGTCGGTCTTTGATTTCTTCCTCGGCACTTTCTCAGAATCCTTCACGATTCTCTTTTTCTTCTTCTTCTTCTCCACCACTATTTTTTTTGTTGACATCTCTTCATCTGAGTTCACAACATTAAAGGAGTCGGTGTCACCATAAAGTCCGGAACCAACGTTTCCCGACGACATAACTTAAACACAACACAGAGATAATAAGAGATTAGTACCTTTCTTCTCCTCGACAGGAATATCAAGGACGTTAATAATTTCTTTCTCCTCGACAGGAATAGCGGGGATGTAATGTTGCATATCACTCCACTTAACAACTTTTGAGTACTTCTCAAGTTTCTTTAAATCCTCTGCGAGCTCCTCGATCTTTTCTCTATCTTCATCCGTCCAATCATCCTTTATTGCCTCAAAACCGTTGGTTTCTCGATAATTCTATGTGATGCAATAATTTTCAGGCGCTTATACATACAGTTAGTCCGGTTTCCATATGGGAGAACCGCCATATGCCTCTACTATCTTCTTGGCACCTAACTTGGGGTTCTTTTTTACAATATACCAATCTTAGAATGATGTCGAAGGTACCGATACTTTAAAGAAATACCTCCACAGAATCAAACAAGGCTTAACTTTCACTCGTTGACATATTCTTGCAAACCCGAGGACATATGTTATCAGATTCGGTATAAATTGGGCCAAGGGGGTTTGGTAGGGTTGAACAATCTCCTCGAAAAAAAAAGAAAAAGGGGGAATGTCAACCCTAGGTGCATAAAGCAGTCATAAATGGTAATTTTTCTTTCTGGAGGATAATTGGCTCTTTCAGTACCTAAAGGGGTTCTAGCTTCTATATCTAGGGACAAATCATATCTCATTTTCAAAGCTATTACCTTTTCACCGGAATCTATGGTAGAAGCAAAATCTTTGATGGTTTTCAGATCTGGGTTTCTAGCCATTTCTCTACTTGCAGCAATAAATCTAGGCCTACACTGAAATTCGAAAAGCAAAAGGCTGAAAATAAAACTGAAATAGACAGGTCTAGGAACTTACTGTTGAAATGGGTTTCCATTCCCCTTTTGAGTTGTAGCCTCCCGGAATTACAGCAGACTCCGGCGGTAGCACTCTATGTAAATCGTAACATCAGTGATATTGGGGCAGTTAAATGGGTCGGCGACAGAAAATCGAGATACCTTTCTTCAACTATAGCTCTCCTCGATCCGGCAGAAATAGACACTTTCGGCGATGATAACTGGGGCAAAACAGCGAGTATGGGGAAATTTGATTTTCATAGAATAAGATTTGAGAGCAGAGGAGAATTGTTTCTCTTTGCAAAATAAAATGGGGGAGAATAACGAATCCAGAAGATTTTATGGACTGTTGTTACTGCCAACAACTTGACCGTTTCGGCGAGTTTCAAGGAAGCGGCAATGATGAAAGTGCCGCTGTTTGGGGAACGTGCCCACTAAAGACGCGCAGATTGATGTTCTGGGCGGGATCCGAAGCGGGTCGTCTTCTCTGTTCGGATCTTGACCTACGAACAATCCCATCAGGCCTACTCGATGTACGTTTGGCCGAGACTTGCCCATTCAGTTTGGGCCGGGTCCAGATATTATTTATTTTGTGTCAAGTCTTGTTTATTTGATACAATTAGTACTTGACTGGGGTACTTGACGAGTCCATATCCACCGAGATCATTTGACCAGCTCATCCGCCAATTATGGTCCAACCGACTTCATAGAGGCAGTTCCTTGACATGAAACCTAGTAGGATTCGATCATCTATCAGGTAATCTCATGCCTATAAATACGGATGATCACGCCACAATTAAGGTACGCTATCCTTAGCACCCATAGCCGAATACACACTTCTCCATAACCCTATTTCTGACTTAAGGATCGGAGTGTCTATCCTCAGGAGACCTCCGAGGCTCTATTTTCCAGAAAACACTACCGGAGTTTCACTGTTAAGCCAGTAATACAATTCCAGGCTTCGTCAAGTTGAAAATGCAGAGTTCAACTAATCAACTATGTAAATTGAAGACAATTTAGCTGTGTAACTTTGCATCAATATCGCGAAAAGCCATACGACCAATATATACATTGACCACTTGTTAGCCACCATATTTCCTGTCAAGAGAATATGTAAATCATAGTTTCTCAATCGAAGCTGGTTTTGAGTGAAGATACTTAAAATTTGCTGAAAAGATGAGTTCTTACTTTCAGGGAAGGCAAGAACTGCAATTGGAAGCCAAAAGAAAAACTGAAGCTCCTGTCTTTGTTGCATTGTTGCGCTTGTGGCATTGTCGTGGTTCTGGCACTCCAGGATGCCGAGAACACCTATGAACATGCAAATCAATCCTATAGTAAGCCAAAGATCTCACCTCAAAGGCTACAAGAAGGTCCATATATCTATGGTCTTCTTGTTCTTCAGGACCATAACAACTCCTGATTTTGTATATGGTAGCGTAAAATCGACAGATTTGGATCAATTCGCCAGAATTGCGATATTGCCCACGACAAAATCATAAGTCTGTTTATTCAAAAGAGTCAAAGTGTTACCTCAGATGAAAGCTAAATGCAAATAAGAAAATGTATACTCTAACAGCATATACATGAATAAGTTCAATACAAAAACCTTGTCAACTACCATTTGGAGCATGTCATTATAACTCCCGTTACAATCTCTACTCGTGTTCAAGTAAGGAACAAACTCATAATCAAGCTGGAAGGGCAATTTCCGTAGTCAAAGGATCTTTTTGTATCTTTACAAATTCAGTGAAACCATCTGTCATGGGAACTCCAACTTTGAGCTTTCCACTTCTTGGAATATCCCAACCCTTGGGAGGAACTAATGTGTCTCCAGGACACATTATGGAATTAAATCTTTTGTGGAAGTAGAATATGATGGCAGACCTCCTCCTGATGAAGACACGTCTCGTGTTATTCCTTTATCTCGTGACCAATATCCTACTGTTCTATCGCCTGTTCCAATCACATTAAATATTTCCAATCCTGAAGGTTTCAGTTGCCCATCAACCAATTGGAACTCTCCTGTCAAGCCTGTAAATTTAATGTTCAAAAGTTCAGAAAATATTTTCGGGCCTAACTGCGAGAGTTTTATAGTTGAAATCTCACTTCTGTTTACTCCTAGGCTTGAATTCAGGGGATCTGACCTCAAGGGCATAGCCTTTTCAATCGCAACTGCTAAGCCCCAGAGTATCATATGTCCAAACAGCATAGACATTTAACTCCATAACTGAACTTTTAAGGTTTCCATCAGAAGTGTATTCTTTTTCCACTCTGCCCTGAACTTGTCGAGGTTCTTGGATTTAGGTACATGAGGCCTGATCCTCCCCACAACATTTTCCATTGGCGAAGAATTGATAGAAGGTAGAAAATTGGACATAGTTTCAGTAATGAGCCATGCCTACCCTTCACTCATCATTCCAGCTCTTCTTGTTTGTTCAAACAGCCTATGTCCCAAGTACTATATGGATATGCACCAGGAAACTCTTGTTTGCTTTGCCATTAAAATGTTAGAGTTTATTTGTGATTTCGCTATCCTTACTTGATTTAGAGACTGCAACCGTGGATGCTAACCGAATATTAACTTCCTGGAACGCTTTAGTCAAATTGGAAACAAAAATTTTTGCATACTCAGTGTCCTCATATAGGATGACTACTTCAAGCCTTTCTCATGGTATATATCATCTGGAGTTGTTCTGACAAAATAAGGACTCTGGCTGAGAAAAAGGCTCGGGTTTTCGCTGTGAATGAAATGACAGGAACATGAGCTCTTTCTCCCAGTTTAACAGCAAATGTGGGCTCTTTTGACCATTGGGGTCCCATAACACCACGAACTTCTCCATTCTTTAGCATTTCTAGAACTGCATCACATTCAAAAGAAGCAACAAAAAGGTAAATGGGCTATTCATGATCTTGGACTTATGAGTGCATGCTGAAGAAATAAGCATGGTGATTAGGTGATATATAATTGGATATCCTTTAAACAGTTGAAGAATTAATAACGAAGATGGAGAAAAAGAAAACACAATTTTGCGGATTCAGAAACGCAGCATTTGATTCATGAAGTGATGGCGGTTGATATACTTAAAAGCAGATGAAATATTACCTGCAAAATCTACATCCAGTTCCTCCTTTACACATTGGATTTGAAGAGATAACCTTGATTTATAATCTGGATGAGCTGCATAGAAGTCTGAAAGAGCAATGGACAAACATAAATGTATCATGTCCATGGATGAATCAGACTCTAAAAGAACACCAATCTGTACAGTTTCGCAATCTGACTGAAGAGCTGTTTCATGGCTTTCATAATTAGCTGCAGCTACTGAATTATGTTTAAACATTAAGAGAAGCAAAGCAATGTGATTGACTGATTGTCACTTTGCATATTGAATCCAGGGAATCAAGATGTTCAATTACTTACTCTTATACAAAGTTTATATACGGATTAAAAAGAAAAAAATCTTACATACAGCCAAGTAAATTATCCAGACATTCTTGTCTTATCGGAATGTTAAAATCTTGGATGTGGGAAGATTCCAAGAATCATGGAAAAAGAGAAATATATGAGATATTTATTAGATCCAGAAGAGTGAAGTGGGCGAACTTTATTGGCACGCAAGTAAACCAAGTGATGAAAAGGAATTCGAAGACTTTTCCGACTGAAGACTTTAAAAATCTTGAAATGTACAAGGATCTGTTGAATGACAACTTGAAATGTACAAGGATCTGTTAAAAGGCTTGTAAGAATTCCATTGTTATACAATGAAATTTGATAAAGTATCATGGAAATTCTGGTCCCCAGCGCTGTTTTTCCGGTATTCTTGATTGAATTTGTCTATCTTACAGTTGTAACTTGAATCGAATTTTTGGACATATTTATGAAATTCATGCATATAGTAAGTTGCCCAAAGTCTGACTAATCTTTTCGCTAAATTGTAAGCATTTTGAAAGATCGAACAGTTGGGCCAAGTTCCAGTACAAGGATTTGAACATTTCTGTATAGTATTCCAAAAGTGTTCTCGTCTGCGACTGTAAGGCAACCTCACGGCAAAAAATGCACTAAGCCGATGCTTCTCATCAAGTACGCAATGGCTTGTCCCTAAACCTGAAGTTGACAGCTCCAAAATTCAAAACAGCTACACCGACCAAGAAATTCCATCCCATAACCTGATATTGACGCTTCAGGAAACTTAAATAGTTGCATCGGACCAGTTTCAAATCAGCTTATTGACATTATTAGGAACAATAGATGGAGAAAAAAAACATTGGAGAAAAGACCAGAAAACCTCAGCCCACCATATTATACTACTCAAATGGCAACTAAAGTAGCATCTACCCCAAAAAAAAAAAAAAAAAAAAAAAAAAAGACAACGAGACACAACTTAGCATCTAGCATCCCCGATACAGCAACAGGCCCTCGGGCTTCGTTTTGGGTAGCAAGTTTCGTGATCCAAAATAACAATAAATATTTTCTCCAATCTGGGCAGCTGGAAACAGATAGCTGAGGATAATCCACCAACCCCAGATGCACGCAACTGCAGTCACAGCTTCAGAGGTTTTAAGCCAAGAGATGCACGAAGCCGATTTGCTTCTGCAATCTCTGGATCAGGATGGTCAGTCCCATCATCCTTCTTCTCCTTCTTTTCTTTCTTCTTTTTGGGCTCATCCCTAGTGGTAGGGCTAGCGTGCCTTCGGTGTCTGTCATCATCCCGATCCTTACGATCTCTACTTCTACTTCTGCTCCTTGAATGACTTCTTCGACGACGGTCCCTTTCCCGTCGATCTCGCTCCCTATCGCGCCCATATTCCTTATCATCTCTATGGTGATGGCGGTCACGTTCACGATCCCGCTCTCGGTCTCTGTCTCTATCCCTATCCCTATCGCGTCCTCTAACCCGATCCCTTTCATAGTCTCTATTTCTGTCATAGTCTCTGTCTCTATCATAATCCCGCTCTCTGTCGTGGTCTCTGTCTCTATCATAGTCCCGATCCCTGGACACACAAATGCATAAGGGAGTATTAGAACGTCAATAAAGTTTTATTCCTATCACAAAATTGTAGAGATCAACTACTATTTGGTGTCAATTTTTGCTCCACAAGTTTCCTCATGAGCAGAAGTTCTTCAAGACAGTTATACTAATTACTGAGCAAATGATGTTGAGTCCATTTTCAGTATTAAGACAGCCCTGCTATTCATTTCAGCCACGCTATGTTTCTTTTGACTTTTATACATACTTTCCAATTATTAATACAATTTACAAAATGAGAAAAAAGTTTAGAGAAGGATCCTCCCTGGAGAAGTGCAACAAAATAAGCAAAGAGAAGAACTTAAAAAATACCTTCGGAAGGGTAAAACAAAAGAAAGGACAAATATCAATAAAAATTATATCACACAGATGTATGGTCCATCATACTTCTCACTGCACACTGTCAGTGCAGAGAAACCTGGCAGGACCTTAATCATTTGTTTTAGGAAGCTGTTCTAAGCCACTGATGGAGATCCAAAAGCCTGGTAAGACTCTTAACACATTTAAGAATGGATCTTGGCTCATGTTTGTGCACGTGTGCATATGTATGCTGCTCTAACAAATTACCTCGTACGACAGCTTCCACTAACATGGGACAGACAAAAAATAATGAATAAGAAGTACTTATATTGACAGTATATTGCCATCGGACAACTCAAAATTATCTAAGAAAACTTATATCCAGAAAGCGGAACCACCATACACAGTGTGATCTTCAGAGAAAGATCAATAACAAATGACAGCGCGAGGCTACTTCTAATGTAACAAGCTTCAGATATCAAACATCTATCTTGAAAAAAAAAAAAAAAGAACGAATCCCTTTACCTTTATCTTTCAGTTGAAAACACACATGGTAATTCAAAACTTATAACTGATTTTGATGCCAGCGTTTAAGCCATATACTAGATGGAAACAAAAACTTCCTAGTAAACAGCCATATACTAGATGGAAACAAAAACTTCCTAGTAAACAAAAAGGAACCAAAGACCCCCACACAAAGAGGGCTGCCGCCATTTTTAAAGCCAATAACATGTGCATAGCATAACCAAGAACATTCCCAGAAAAGAATGATGGAAAGGAAAATAGCAATTTAAATAATCAGGATACCTGTATTTATGGCTATCCCGCCTTCTATCTCGATCTCTTTCTCTAGTTGGACTCCGCCCATGATAATAATCCTGTCCCATAGTACATACAAAAATCAGTTATCAAACACAGGAGAGCTAATAGGTATATAAAAAATGTACTCGAAATTCACAATAACCAAGTTAAGAAAAATACCTTCTCATGATCTCTTGCATCTAAGCCATTTGCAGGTTGATCATCTTCATCCTTTTCTTCCTCCTCATCAAAATCATCTTCGAGGACACTTCTTCTAGGTTCTAGTGAACCTAAAGATTCGAGAGTCCATCTGGAAACATAAATGCATATACTTGTAAATACCAAGAATTAAAAGCACAAACAAAACTGTTTGGTCAAATTGAACTAGGCAAACTGCATATCATCTCATGTGAGATACTCCAGAACTTTTTTTTCTATTTTCACTTGAAACCAGCCTGAAAGGTGTAAAAAGACTAACAAGGATGAATTTAAACCAGTAAAAATTAGACCTGGAAAAGGTCTAGATTACCTCACTGTTTACACTATACTTTTTATGCACATTCCAAATACTCGTTTGTAGGTTATTGCTCAGTGTCAACCCAATGTAAACAATTATCACTCCCAGAAAGATACAAAATGACTTTTGAACATGATTCAATCAGTCAAGATATACCTGGCCTCTAGTTCAATCTAAAGGTATCATGTGTTTACTATAAACTCATCTATTCATTTAACGAGCATCAGCAGCACGGCCAAACAGATATGTCTATAGGCGGTAAATGCTGTTTGTTCAAACTGTGTACCATGAATCCAGCATTGGTTGCAGATGAAAAAAGAACCCCTTCAAATTAATCAATTAGTCTATGATTAACCATCTACAGAATGCTAATTGATTACTTGAACTAGGTACCAAGCTTCTGGAGAAACTAAAACCTCATTACGGGTAAAGAAACTCCATAGGATGTAACATGATAAACAAAACAAGTTTTTATACCAAAAGTAAAGCATAGTACAATTTCCTAACAAGGATGAATTTAAACCAGTAAAAATTAAACCTGGAAAAGGTCTAGATTACCTCACTGTTTACACTATACTTTTTATGCACATTCCAAATACTCGTTTGTAGGTTATTGCTCAGTGTCAGCCCAATGTAAACAATTATCACTCCCAGAAAGATACAAAATGACTTTTGAACATGATTCAATCAGTCAAGATATACCTGGCCTTACTAGTTCAATCTAAAGGTATCATGTGTTTACTATAAACTCATCTATTCATTTAACGAGCATCAGCAGCACGGCCAAACAGATATGTCTATAGGCGGTAAATGCTGTTTGTTCAAACTGTGTACCATGAATCCAGCATTGGTTGCAGATGAAAAAAGAACCCCTTCAAATTAATCAATTAGTCTATGATTAACCATCTACAGAATGCTAATTGATTACTTGAACTAGGTACCAAGCTTCTGGAGAAACTAAAACCTCATTACGGGTAAAGAAACTCCATAGGATGTAACATGATAAACAAAACAAGTTTTTATACCAAAAGTAAAGCATAGTACAATTTCCTAACAAGGATGATTTTAAACCAGTAAAAATTAAACCTGGAAAAGGTCTAGATTACCTCACTGTTTACACTATACTTTTTATGCACATTCCAAATACTCGTTTGTAGGTTATTGCTCAGTGTCAGCCCAATGTAAACAATTATCACTCCCAGAAAGATACAAAATGACTTTTGAACATGATTCAATCAGTCAAGATATACCTGGCCTTACTAGTTCAATCTAAAGGTATCATGTGTTTACTATAAACTCATCTATTCATTTAACGAGCATCAGCAGCACGGCCAAACAGATATGTCTATAGGCGGTAAATGCTGTTTGTTCAAACTGTGTACCATGAATCCAGCATTGGTTGCAGATGAAAAAAGAACCCCTTCAAATTAATCAATTAGTCTATGATTAACCATCTACAGAATGCTAATTGATTTCTTGGACTAGGTACCAAGCTTCTGGAGAAACTAAAACCTCATTACGGGTAAAGAAACTCCATAGGATGTAACATGATAAACAAAACAAGTTTTTATACCAAAAGTAAAGCATAGTACAATTTCCTGCCCCCCAAACCTAAGGGCACAGACACACGACACTTACTTTACACTCACTCGTAGCAAACATGTGGAATATAAAAAGAAAAATGATGGAATGAACATAAAGTAAAAGCACCAACCTTTTCTTAAAGTAAAAGCACCAACCTTTTCTTAACATGTGGTAACACAATATCACAGGAGTAATCTTTCGTCAGAAGTTCATCAATGAACTCATCCACATGGGTCAGCGCGAATTCTGGAGAAAGGAAAAAGGCATAAATTAACGCATCATCAAACAACGAAAACTCAAGTATTTAGCTAATGGAAGTCATAATTAAACAAGACCAAGGGAAAAATAAAATAAAATAAAATAGTCTTACTTCCATCTGTTAATCTCTTCCTCAGCTTCCTGTAGTCATTGTACAGGGGCTCCAAATAACGATAAACATCCACATCCGTCCCTGTCAATCTCAAATAAAACGCTCCAAGCACGCGGACGTATTTGTAATCCTCGTTCTTAATGAATTCAACCACGATTTCCTTATCGGGTTGAATCTGAAGCATCTTGGTGACAAGACACATGAAAGGGGTGGGCTTCCGGTTGCCGCCAAAGGTGCCGCCGACATGGTCGAGCTCCATGGCTTTATCGACTAGGGTTTCGGCAGTGAGGCCGAAGCATTGCTCCTTCCAGTAGGTGTTCTGGTAAATCTTAGTCCGAAGAATCTTCTCCACCAGATTTTGAGGGTTCGTTCCCCTTATGCTCTTCGCCGTCGGGTCCGTCCGGTTCGCCATCAGCGGGGGTGATTTTGCACGGCGAAGCTAATTTTGAGAATGGCGCAGCGTAAATCCCGCCTAATTTGAACGAATTGACTCCAGTGCAGAGGTTCTGGAGATAGAAATCATCGGAATTTCTTGAAATTTCTAAGGAACAAAGGGATTCAGAGAGGGAAATCGTAGCAGAGAGAGCAAACGAAACGGGAAAGACGAAGAAAGTGTTTCTTCTGGGTTTAAAAGTTGCAGCGAAAGAGGACCAATTTCGGTTTTAACTTTTAACTTTCAAGTACATTGTAAATTGCAAATATAACCCCTAAACTTTTAATTGTATCAAGTACTTTTTCGGACCAATTCGGGTTTTAACTTTTACGGACCAAGTCAAATTTTTGTTTCAAATTTTTTTTTTTTTTTTTTTTTGTGAAAAGGTAAATTTTATATAAGAACACCAAAAAATGGTGAAACTCATTACAAAACTGTCTTCTTATCTATTACAAAATTTCTGAGATGATTCAGCACCTCTCTTACACAATCTCACTATACTAAATATACTTTACCATCATCCTTTAATCGAAATCAAAGACTTGATTTAAAATCTATCTTACAACATGCCTGTTATCTGCCTATATTCTATGCCCAAACTTGCTTTTCAGATCTAATTTCAGGCCTCTGAACAGAATTTCGAATGATTTTTCCACCCCATCAAATTGCCTCCTATTTCTTTCTGTCCACAAGTAATATATACTACCAGTGATTGCAGCCCACAACACTCTTCTTTTCAATTTCTGCTTCTTCCACAAATATAATATTTGAGCTTTCTATCTTTGATCTGTCTTGCAATTTTTCTGTACTTTAGCGACCCCCTCAGAAGTTCCAGTACCTGACTAGAGTACCGGCATTGAAAAAAAAGATTATCACAGGTTTCAGCTTCTGATTTACAGAGCCAACAACACTGGTCTACAACATTTAAATTCATTCTTGTAATTCTGTCTTTGGTCAGGACTCTCTGCTTGTAAACCAACCATTCTATAAAAGCATGCTTTATATTTAAGCTGGACCAAATACACCTTGCATTCTCGTCCTTCTCACCCCCTCCAATCAGCCACTGATAGCCCGAGGAAACAGAATACAAGCCATTACTCTGCAACTTCCACCTCGTCCCATCTATAGCCCCACTAAAAAAGCCTCTCAACTTCAAAAGTTGTTTCCGCTGCCAACTGGAATCAGCTTTCTGAGGAACATCAACAAGCTTTCTTGTTTTTCAAGTTGACATATATCCATTTTGATTTTCACTTTTACTTTTTTCTTTCATATCTTTTTTCTTTTTTTGATGTTTTATTGTATGTTTATCTAATGTTTTCCTTTGGTTACAATATGGATATATATAAAATCAAAGAAGATCTATATATATATGGATACCTATTCGTTGCTTTTGAATCCATCAAGATATGTGGATTTTTAGGTCGCTTTTGGTTGTAATTAATATTAGATGGATTAGATGCGCTTCGCGAGCATGTATAATGACGTACGTAAATTACATCTATAGAAAAAAAATAAATTTTTAATAATTAAATATATATAATTCATGTTGTTGTCTATTACACTTTTTTTTATGAGAGCCAGGGCGGTACTTGGCGGGCATTTCCCCAATTTTATTTATTTTTAAAAAGAGATTACAAGGCAGTGCTTAAGACTTACCCAAAGGGAAGAGTCCGTCGTACAAAGATTTACTAAAATCCCATGACTGCTCTGCTTCTAGAACTAGGAGGATGTCTTACAAAGATTATACTAAAACCCCATGGCATCTTTGTTTGTAATTAAAACATAAACCCTGCGACTTCTCTATATCCTTAGTCTAAAATTACCTGACTTCTCTATTACATTCACAAACTATCTCATTCTTAGGTAATGAAATGCGCATTTGTCTAAAAACCACTTACCTCGCAACAAGGTAGGGAGATCCTCTTGCGAATCATAATGTGTGGTTACCCCCCTAGGATAGTTTAGCTAAAGCATCCGCCATACTATTCATTTCTCGATAGATATGAACTATTCTCGAATTGGAAGTGTTTAACAGTTGTCTTATCTGTTGAAATTTTGCGAGATAGTGCCATGGTAGAGATTCCTTCTGTGTAAGAATTTGCACTATCGTCTTGCTATCCGTTTGGACTACCGCTTGAGATATTCCTCTTGCCTCACATGCTTTTAAGCCATTTAGAATGGCTTTAATTTCTGGTTCTAAAATCAAAGCTTGTCCCATATACTGACATTTCACATGTATAAATTTTCCTCTTTCTCCTCGCAGCATATATACCCATCCAGCATCTCCAGGTTGACCTAAACCCGACCTGTCCGTATTCAGTATTGTCTCTCCTGGCTTTGGCGGTTGCCATTTCAAAGAAATGATTGATTTTGGCAATGGAGCTAACACTTTTGCATGAAAAATCCTTTCAAGGCCTTGCTTCTCTTCATTTGTTCTTGCTCGAAGCTTGTGGACACTCATCAAGTTTGAGATATGAGCTTTAACATTTTGCCTAAGAGTATCCAGGTAAAATTTTGCATCTTCATATAGCAATTTATTGCGAGTTTTCCAAATCTCCCACATTAGAAAACTAGGAAGCACCATCTGAATAGTCCTCTTAGCCATGGTATAGCTCCCCATAGAATGCCAAACTTGTATGTATATTGCTCCTCCATCCTGCACGATTAGAAGAAGAAATTTCTAAAGATGATGCAAAGTAAGTCCAAATCGGTTTTACCTTTGCACATTGAAAGAAGTATGATCTATGGTTTCTTCCTCCTCGCAACAAAATGGACATCTTGAAGGCCTCGCATAAATTCCCATTCTCTGCAAAATTTCAGGAAAAGGAAGCAAATTATTAAAAAGTTTCCACATGAAGAAGGAGATTTTAATTGGCAAAACTTTATGCTAAAAATTTTTAAATAAAGGAAACTCTTCTCTTTTTTCCCGCAATTCTGAGTAAGCTGTTGAGACTGTAAAAATCCCCATTGGATTTGGCTTCCACACAAGTTTGTCTTGCTCTTCAACAAAGGTCATCTCCATTGCATTTAGCGCTCCAGCTATATGAGGATCTTGTAGACCTGCAAATTCCTGCAAAAAAGAAGATTTGGAACCAAAAAGTTCCTTAACCGTTAATTCTGGCCTTGGAGGAGTTGCCTCATCTTTCCATATAATACCTTCATCCAACCATTTGTCAAAGCAAAAAGACGATGCTCCATCATTTATGATCCTGATACTGCTCGCCTCAGCCTGAGTTCCCACCTTTAAGACCCGCTTCCAACTAGTTTTAGACTTACCTAAATCTGACAAGGATGTAACAAATCTAGCCCTAACACCTTGAGCCTGTTGAATCTTCCACCAGAGCTTTAGGGAGAAAGCATTTAACGTGTCCTCCAGCTTCCGAAACCCTAAACCATTCTCCGCAACCAGAAATGTAAGACGACTCCAAGCTCTCCAATGCCTTTTATACCCGAATTCATTTTCACCCCAAGAAAAAACTGACACTTCCTTTCAAGAGCTTCCAAAACTGACTTTGGGGGCGCAATCGCTGCTGTGGTATGGATTGGGAAAGCAGACGAAACATGCCTTATTAACACTATCCTTCCTCCTGCCGACAACATCTTGTTTTTCCAATTTCCTAACTTAGCATCAAAAGCATCCAAAAGGTACTGAAAGTATTCTCCTTTATTCCTCCCTTTGAAAAGATTACACCCTAGGTACTTGAAAGGGAGAGCCCCTTGTGGCATTTCCAGGGATTGGGCCACTAATGCAACGTGAGCAGCGCTACATTTTTCCGATACTAAAAACATGCTCTTCTGATTATTCATCCTTTGCCCTGTAGCTACCTCATAGTCCTGGAAAAAATCATTGAGTTGCATCATTGAATTTTGAAGGCCTTTCATGAAGATAATGAGGTCATCAGCAAAGTATAAATACGATACTATTCTTGATCCAGCTGGAACTCCATACATTGCTATTTTCCCATTTTTAGCAAGTCTCTTCATATTCCTTGTAAAAGCTTCAGACATGATTATAAATAAATAAGGCAATAAAGGATCGCCTTGCTTCATTCCCCTTGAAGCTTGAAAATAACCTGCCAGACTTCCATTTAGAAAGATAGAGAACCAACTCCTTGTGAGATTGGACATCACTAAAGCTACAAAATGTTGATGAACCAAACTTCAGCATAATCCTTCTCAGAAAATCCCAAGAGGCTCTATCAAATTCTTTCATCAGATCCACCTTTAGAATTAGATTCCCACCTCTTGTCGGATGATCCAAGAACTGTAGAAGATCTTGCGTTAAGAGAACGTTATCAACAATATCCCTGCCACTTAAAAAGGCCGATATCTCCTCAGATATGATCTTGGGAAGTACCTTTTTCAATCTCTCAGTAAGCAGCTTTGTCATGACCTTGTTTATAAAATTGCATAAACTGATTGGCCTGAAGTCAGAAAATGATGTGGCGGTACTATTCTTCGGGATCAAAGTTATAACTGTGCTAGTAATTGCCCTAGGAAGTGAGATACCCATCATAAATTCCTTGCAAGCCGCTTATGCTGTCTATTACACTTTCTACAAAATATTTGATAAATTTATAAATAGAAAAAAAATATTGTAAAAACAAAATGATATTACTAAACCGTGTCACTTCTTATTGCAACAACAGTGACACATAATATTTTGTTATAAAATGCAACATGAGCAATAAAATAAAATCGAATTTCTGTATCATCTAAAAGAAAAATAAAAGAAAAAAAATTATTAGAGAGAAAAACTAAATTGTGGAAAAAATATATGAAGTTGAAGAAAGAAAGATGAAATCTCCAATAAATTTGAGAGGGAGAGATAAAAGAAAATACTTGAAAGAAACAAAGAAAGAGTGGCAAAATTCTTACACGGGTTAGAATTATAAATCAGTGATACATGACTTTAAATATACATACATATATATATATATATATATTTTAAGTTCTGGAACAATCTTAACCTTTTTTAGAGAAATCCATGACAATACCTAGTAGGAGGACCCCGATTTTTGTAATAAAAAAAAGTACAAAGGACAGTGCTTAAGATTTTTCCAAAAAAAAAAAAAATCGTCTTACAAAAATTTTCTAAAAACTCCCTGACGGTTTTGATGCATTCTATTACTAAGCAACTGTTTTACAAAGATTTCTTAGAATCTCATGACAGTTATATATTTTAGAAAGTACGAACTAATATTAAATTGAACGAATGAACCTAAACTATCATGAATGAACATATTAAATTCACCGAAGAGAAGAGAAAACGAAAAGACACAGAAATTTAGAGGGATTAGAATCATCGAAAGTATTTTTTGATTGATCAAATTTATTTAATAATGAGAAATTTTCTGTAATCTTAATAATAAAATAAA